TATTAGTACTTTGTTGGATGCATAGTTTGAAAATATTTTCTCCCACTCTGTGGGTTGTCTGTTTACTCTGCTGATAATTTCTTTTGCTGTGCAGAAGCTTTTTAGTTTAATTAGGTCCCATTTATTTATTTTTGTTTTTGTCGCATTTGCTTTTGTGGTCTTAGTCATGAATTATTTGCCTAAGCCAAATAACATTGGTTTTTAATATCACTTTTTCTGTCACCTAAGGAATATGACACATTTTCATCTGCTGGGGCTCACTATGGCAGCATTTCTCTTGGGGATAAGAAACTCAGGGATGGGTGTGAGGATCTATTTAAATTACAACCAGTAACCAATGTTGATATGCTACTTTGTATGTGGGGGGGTATCACACAGTCACACCATCCTAAGTGAATTGACTGGTTCACCTTGTGAAGTCAAAACAGTTCTGCTTGTTTTATATATATTTCATAACCTTGAGAATTGTACTTCTCAAAACATCAGAACCCTTTTCTCTTTGTACCTCTCAAAACATCTCAGAATACAAGATGTGTTTAAAAACTGTATACTTTTAAAATTCTTCAATCCAAGCTCAAGTGAACTGCATCCCTCAAAAGGAAAATACGGTTATTAATGTGTAATTTTGAGTAATCCTATCATATAAAGTTAAAGTAAAAGGTACGAAAGGAGAGAGGAAGGAAAAAGAAAGAGATGGAGGGAGAGAATGAGGGCAGGAGGCAAGGAGGGAGGGAGAAAAGACAAGACATAAGGGAAGGAGGCAGGAGTAAAACATATGCTTCCTTAGGGATGATATTTAGCATGTAGATGCTAACATGGATGTGTGCATTGTTAAAATACTGAAATATTTTTATGTCAATTGGTCAAGGCTGCCCTGAGCTCTGAGTGGTCCCTATTTCCCTGGCCACCTTGGCCTCTCTCCAGCCACCTATCCTAACAATCAAGTGATTTAAGGGTTACTGTCTGGCAAAGAGAGGGACTGCAGGCCTTGACTCTCACTCCAGTGCTGGCACCTAGCCCCAATAGTCAATGACCATACCTTGCCAGTAGTTAAATATTTTGACTAGCAGCCTTGTGTTTACCCACCAGAATTATCAAATGGCCCAAGTGTAGAGAATAGTACATTCTACATCTACATACTAGGACCTTAACCCACCTTACCTTTGATGTGACAGACTCTTCTGGGATGAGGTGTGTGCCTGACTAGAAAGCAGCTTACATTTCTAGCCGTAATATGGCTGCCTTTGCCCTCAATCCGAAGAGCAGATGTCGAGGGGTTGAGGTTCATATTCATGGAGTGTTTATTTTCCCCTCTCCACTGTTGCCACAAAAGTTTTTGGAGTCTAAATTGATTGACCTCACTTCCAGATGTGCTCAGACCCTGAAATCACAAAATGACAAACATTCTGACAAGAGTTTCTTGTCACTTTCTTACACATCAAATATTTTTCCATCTCCTTTGTTTGAACTAAATTGTTTCTCAGGTTACAGCAATGTGAGTCTATTTTGCTTTCAGACCAAATTTTCATAAACATTGAAAAGTACAAGCATGGATGGATCATAAAAAATTTTCCTATGGGAAAACCAAAGTGTTTGATTTTGAAATATTTATATCACATATGTAAAAAGTATAAAGTATATTCTGTTTTTACTTTCATTTGAGCTCACTTTGTTGACTTACCAACACAAAAATGTATTACATGATTATCAATTTTGATATAGTAAACTTAAATGATGACTTTTAAATGCAATACTCACAAATACACTTTACATTGAATTAATTTTAAGTTAAGACCTTTCATATTGCACTTATAAAACCCAGCATCATAAATGTGTATCATCTTCTGAGAGAATGGTAAAACCTGAAGGAGGAAAAACATCCAAAAGAGTGATATACGTAGAGATGATAAACCAGAGAACCTTTGCCATATTGTTGTTTGCAATACTCAGTAACAGTTATTGGTCCTTCAGCAAACATTTTTAGACACCTAGGAGATTTTAGACCTCGGAGATTTAAGACATTTTAGACCTCGGAGATTAAAGACAATGTTATGTATTTTAGTGAATTCACAACCATGTAGAAAAGAACATCTCTGGGTTAAGAACATAAAAAGCCATTATTTAAACTTTAAATAATGGCTTACTTAAAGAAAGTACATTACTTTAAGTAAGCTTAGATAGTATACTACTATCTAGTATACTACTATAAAAGTAGATAGTATACTACTTTTGAAATCCAGGAAGGATGATTTTCTAGTGCCTGTTGTATTTTTTCTATCTTAAATGGAAATCTTATTCACCATGCCAGAATTAGGAAATACACATTTTATTTATAACCATAGCAGAGATTTTTTTGGTTAGAATAATTTGCAGTGTCAAAAAAATGTTCATATTCTAGAAATTGATCTCAGGATTTTGTTGAGATGGATATTTTTAGATCACTGACTATCTTATTAAACCAAAGCAATCTATGTTTAAGTGTTTCGTGCTATATACTTAGAGGGCATGATGTATAAATTCCCAGGCTTGTTGCCACAGAACATCTGGTTTTCAGGAAATTCAGTTTGATATATATAAATAATAAAATTATCCTAGGTTGGATAAAATAAATGTAGACATTAAATTCAGAAAATATCTGTCTACCAATAAAGTGTATTTTTATATTGTTCTTTATGAATATCACTGTTGAGGAGCTAGTTCTAACCTCTTTGTTTAAATTATGCTTTAGACTTGATCATTCTTTCAGTGTGGGACCTTTTGTACAATTAAGCCAGTAAATTTGCTTTTTATTTGTATTGAGGTGGAAAGGTGTACAGCAAGCAATTTGGAGAGTGAAAAAGACATTAAACCAGAATTTCAAAAATAGGATTTATGGTCCCAGATTTGCCACTAACTAGCAAAGTGACCACAGATTAATTGCTTTATTGCCTAGATTTCAGTCTGTTCATCTATAACCTGATGAAATTGACTTAAATGTCAGCTGATACTATTCAGTTATTCTACTATGTGTGTCTGTCCCACATCAATTCTCTTAGATTAGCTTGAAAGGTAGTGATACACTTTAAATTTTGGTACAAAAGGTCAACAAGAAAACAATGCAGATAATTATTTTCTTCCTCTTATTAAAATAGCAGTGCCTCCTGGAAGTCTGAAATTCATCTTGTTTTTATACCTTAAGTTAAGAAGATGCTATAGTACTTACTCTTGGCTTACAAGAAGTTTAATCTGATGTTACGACTTTTTATTGTTCAAGAATAATGTTTAAGGAGTAAAGATAATATATAAATATTGTATCCACATATATCACTAAAAATTCTCCAAAATTCAAAATATACATTGTGTTGACTATGATATAAATGATTGTGTCCCCCCAACACCAAATTCATATTTGAAACCTAATCACCAATGTGACAGTATTAGGAAATAGGGCCTTTGGGAGATATCTTCATGGATGGGATTTGTGTACAAAACACATACACATGCACAAATGAAAAATCAATATAAACTACACACTTTTTTCCAGTATTTTAACCTAATAGGTAATTGCTATGTGATGTAGAATGTTGGTTCTCAGCCCATTTTCCCCACCATAATACACATGATAGATGATGTTTGTGTGGAAGACACATTTTCATCACATTTAGATTTTTTTTAACGCATTTCAAAATTGTGGGGAAGCAATGTACTACACACTACTGATTCAACTATGGTGTGTCAGTGACTATTGCTCAGAAGAGCTACATCATGGGTTCTAACTCCAACCATGTAAGCACATGGCATTGCAGATAAATGCCAGGTAATTCACCCTTCTTTGTACTAAATTGCTTTTTAAAAGTAAATAATCTGCAAACCTGAGTATTTTAGCTATTGTTAGTAAATATCTTGAGTCTCATCTCACTACCTATGTGTTGTAAAACCTAGGCTGAGGCTTCATGACTTAAAGATGAACCCAAGAGATTACCTGAATGAAGGTAGCTGAGTTCCATTTATACTTCTATTTTAATTGTGATGCTAATTCAGAAAAGGAAAAGAAAACTCTGTAGAGGTAAGTCTGTAGGAAAATTTAATTAAAGTTAGTATTTACCTTTCACAGAATTGTGTAAATACTTCTGGAAGCAGTATTTCCTTTCCTATAGCCTCTTGAATCTACCTATATATTAGTAAATTATTAAATTTTATTCAGACTAAATAACACAAAATCCTCAAAATAGGTGGTTTTAAAAGCATTATTAATCCACCTATTTCTAACTCTGGCCATTGTTACTTAGAACATGCCATGTAAGTCTATATTAAATATTAATATTCTTACTCCAAAATAGCACATGTATAAAATGTATACTGACACAGAAAGAATATTGTATCTGATTAATAAATAGCTGAAAGTTCTTATGAATTCATAGGGATATAAAGACCATTATTTAGGTGATGAATACCAAATCTGCATTTGCAGATCCCCTTTATCCTGGAATTTACACCCCTTAGGTCTTGGATAACTGAGACTTTAGAAACCCTCTTGGACAAGAGATAACTTCAAAAATGAAAGCCAAATATTAATACCGATGGCTTTCTCCCTCACTTATTTCTCTGTCTAAAGGACACTTTCTCCAAAAGCCTTTCTAACTCCCTCTCAAAAGTAGCTCCCACCATCATCCCAGCCTCTATTGGTCTCTAGCCCTTTCCCTCCTTAAGCTATCTTTGTAGTGTGTATCACTCCCTGATATTATTTATTTTACATTTCTTTATTTTCTGCTCCTCTCAAAAGGATGTGATAATCAAGTAGGCAATGATCTAGCTCAGTTTTTTATCTTTGCATTCCCAAAACCTAGAATATGGTCAGCCACATAGTAAATGCTCAATAAATACTTGTTAAATAGAACTAGATGTTTTCCACAGAATAAATGTCTTTAGTCTACAGACTTTGCATATTTCATTTTCTTAAAACAGATTTATTTGGGTTTTACATAATCTCGAAAAAAGAATAAATTTGAGGACTATTAACTAACTCACATCTAAAATGTTAGAACATTATTCTAAGATAAATTTAAAATTATACCTGAGGACAGTATTAAAAGCAGGTGATCTTGCTGACAGGAACTCAAGTCTGTTGATAACCTCCCAGCCTCATAATATGTCTAGGCTGAATTTTTGTTGATTTCCTTAAATCTCTGCACTTAAGCTAGAAGTTTTTAATTGGTAGAGACAGCCCAATCTCGAATGCTTCCAAAAGCATACAACTGTCTTCTTCCAGTTTTTCACACTCTTACTCCAAGGAGCCTATGTGGCTCCCTGGTTAAGATATGTTACATAGCTTAGCAACGTGGTAACATTCCTTAGAAAAATCTAAATTCTAGAATCTTCTCAGACCTCCAGTTACCCACTTGATGAAACCACGTGGCCACAAGGGACTTTCCTCAGTTTTGTACATACAATGGAGTTAAATCCAATGCAAGAGAAAGAAAAATGAGAAATATAAAACAAAAAGCAATATAAATCAAATGTATACTTTTTCCCACAATTCTGCTTAAAGAACAGTTATGGTATAACCAAGTTTAGCTTAATCAAAAACCAATGGGAGAAGGTATTAAGGAGTTTCTAATAATTGTGAATGGACTACACTGCTCTGGTAGTCAGAATGTGCTGATGACTTGTTCAACAGCCATGAAAAAATATTGTAATTAGAAGTCATAGAGAAACATACACACATGTACATGTGGTGCTTCACAAGATTTTTCATAATACATGTGATTTTGAATTTCTGAGTTACAGTCTCTGAAAGCAATATAGACAATTTCTGAAAGGCAAATGCTAACTTAAAACAGTGCAAGTAGATAGCCTAATTGGTCTATTTTCTTGACTGGCCCAAGAATTAAAGGCTTAAATGCCTTTGCCCATAACCCATTCATGATTTATGCCTCCCTGCTTTACTGTAGTTTATGGGGGATTTTATGGCAGATCTAATTGACTTTCTAAGGTAATTTTCATATTTTGAGATATTTAGTCTTCAGTTTGTATCAGTTGAGAAACTTTTTTACAGCTAATAATAGAGAGCAGAAATACTATTTTAAGTAAGATAGACATGTATTTATTTCTTCCTCACATGAAAGAGTTCAACCGTCTAGGGTTGGTATGGAAACTTTATGAAGCATCATTATGGACCTCGGCTTCATCTATGTTTTAGGTCCATCTTTGTTTATATTTGGCTTCCATTTTTGAAGTTAGCCCTCGTCCAAGATAGTTTCTGAAGTTCTAGTCATCCAAGATGGCTGCTATATTTGCACATATCAAATCCGTACTCCAAGCAGGAAACAAGAGGAAGTTTGGGGAGGTAAGGGCTGAGAAGGGTATGTGCTAGCTCTCTGCCCCCTTTGTAAGAGCCTTTTCATGGTCCCAGAC